CACCATAATATAGTGAATAATAGAGACTAGGAGTGAATTTGCATACCTAGTCTACTGTACATATATTCACTTCATTAGGTTACTGCTTCAAAAGGTGAAGAATATGCTAAATCAGTGAATGCCATATTCATGGAGTGCAGTGCCAAAGATGACACCAATGTAAAGGACCTATTCTCTAGAATAGGTTAGAATACATGTACATGCAGTAATACTTTATGTAAACATGTATTTAATTTCTCTCTCTCTCTAGCTGATACTATACCATTAGATAAATTAAATGTCGATTTAAAACTCGGTACGGTCAAATTAAACAGAAAATCTGGACACTCGAGCTCAGGTTGTTCCTGTTAAAATGAGAAGCACACACGAATAATTTATCACACATCCAGAGAGAAAGGATATCATATCTTATTAAATGCATCAATTCAACATCACTACTCACCAGCTGGTACATATAGTCCGTTATATGGAGCAGCTGTGGATTAACGTTTGTGTATGGAGTGACACAAAAGCAATAATTATAATTAATAGCTCATCAATCTTATTACTTAATAACTATTGTTATTATTATTATTATTATTATTATTATTATTATTATTATTATTATTATTATTATTTAGAATAATTTTATTTGCCAACTCATCTCAGTAGCAAGGCAAAACTGCATTTTATTATAGTCTAGTGACTGTAAGTCTATCTTTTGTGATATGGTAAATTGTGTGCTAGTCTAATGTTATGTTGGGGTTAGAGTTGAATTTGGTTCAACTATTTACTGCATGCCTATGTGATCATGCATGCATCAAGAAGTCAAATTGCCCACGCTTTTAATTTAAAATTAACAGTACATTACACTAGCCTAGCATACAGTATATCTGCCTTAATACATGTATACATGTATTGCAGATATTTAGTGGTTTGTTTATATTTAGAACATATCCATATCCATATAAGGAGTTTTGTTATGATAGTAATACATTTTCAATCTATGCGCTGAGTTAATCATTAAGTGTGTAGTATTGTGCCAAGAAAGTACCTAGCAAGGATGGCTACACCACCAGTACAGTCTGAACCAGAGCGCTTTGGCACAATAATGGATCCTGTTCATGGATCCATACAACTTGATAAATATTTGTTTAAGATTATTGATAGACCAGAGTTCCAAAGACTGAGGAAGATCAAACAATTTGGTGAGTCTAAACTATAATATACCAGTATTGATCATTGCATGATTTTAGGTGGAGTATATTATGTGTATCCTGGTGGTGTTCACACAAGATTTGAGCATTCTATTGGGTAATACACAATACATATTATTTTGTACTTTCTAATCGCATTCAGTGTTTGCTATATTGCTGGTCAACTGGTTGATGCACTGAACAAGCACAACCCTCCAGGGGAAGAAAACCTATCTAAATGGTTCACACCACAAGAGAAGATGTGTGTACAGATTGCTGCATTGTGTCATGACATTGGTATGTATTAAGATCATAGTCTTGTTTAGATTCATTTTATACTTAGGGCATGGACCTTTCTCACATGTTTATGATTTTGCTGTCAAAGAATATGTGTATAAAAAATTAAAATCTGAACAGAAAAGGAAAGATTTCATAAGATCAAAAAAAGATGAATATGGTGACAATGAGAAATTGGAGTCATATTTAGAGAAAAATGAAGTACCAAAAGTAAATTTTTAGTAATTATTGATATTCATGATAAATCCACATTGCACAGAAAGCAAAGCATGAATATAGGTCAGCTTTAATTGTCAAACGTTTGATGGAGGAGCTCAACTTTGATGAATTTAAAGAACACTCCTACATGTATATCCAACTTATTCAAGATATGATTACATTTTCTGAGGTAGCTACATGAACATGTTTGTTTATGCTGAATTCCTGCATAATTGTTGACATTTTTGATAACAGAGGGATCTGAAAAATGAAGAGACCAAGGAAGAATTTTGGCCAACTAAACTACCTAGTGACAAAACATACAAAGAAAAGACCTTCCTTTTTGAGGTATGCAATTTATTTCTTTGCTGTTCGGGTTTTGCAAGCAAAGTTAAGTAATCATTGCTACCCACTATCTACAGTCATTTATTCATCAATAGATTGTTGCTAATGGATTTACTGGTATTGATGTTGATAAAATGGACTACTTTGCCCGTGATGCTCATAGTGTGGGACTGCCTAACAATTTTGATTGGAGGTAAAATTGTTGGAATGTGAATCATAGTAATTATGTATGTACTCTGTTTATATAGACGCTTCACTCAAACGGCAAAAATTATTAAGTGTGAGGATGACTTTCACCATATATGCTCAAGGGATAAAGTAATAAGATTAGTTCAATTAGAAGCAATAAGTATATGGTGTTATATGTAATTTTTAGGATGCCTTATCACTCTATGAATTGTTTCACACAAGGAATGTTCTTTATCGCTCTGTGTATAAGCACAAGACTGTAGTTATTGTGGAACATTTGTGAGAAATTATTTTATCAACATATATAATATAATTTATATACTATAGAATGAAGAAAGCTTTAAAGAAAACCACCCCACAAACCATAATTCAAGTTAAAGCAGAAGATGAAAATGAATCATATTCACTTTTAAAGTGTTGGCATGATATTGATGCATTTCTTGTGATTGATGATTCAATTGAAGATTTTATAATGAATGGTCAAACAGATGAACATCAACAAGTTCAAAAACTGGTAACTCATTTAAAAATTTTATCATAAAATTACATACATACATTAGTTTATAAAGAAAGCTCAAGACACTGATAAAAGTCTAGAAGTATATCAAAATTTAAGCCAATTTGTCAGTTGTAACTTTTTTCCAGAAATATTTTAGTAGGATAAAAGAAAGAAAATTACCAAAATTTTTGGGGCGCACAGCAAAGGGCAGTGAAATTTCAAAAAGAAACATTGCTATATGTGCTTCTGCAAAAAAATCAGAAATTGAAACAATTGAAAAAAGACTTAAACCACTAGTAAGGAAATAACAAACTTTTGAAAGCTATGATAATTAATTACTATAGCCTGTGAAGTTTAGCTATGGAAAGGGAAGTGAAGACCCTATTCAATCACATTACTTCTATGGCAAGTTTTATCCTCAAAATCCTTTTCATATTCAGAAAGAGGAGGTAAGTGACACTGATACTGTTGTGCAAAAGATGATCATTTTAAAAATAAAGGTATCCAAAATTCTTCCATCTGATTTTAAAGAAGAGGAAGTGTTTTGGTATTATGATATGAAAGATGATAATGATGATGAAACTGAAGCAGTTGCAAGATCTTTGTGGGAGTGTTTAAACATGCATAAACTTCCAACTGAATTTAAAAGTGCTCTGGAAGGAAGCTGTGCCAGAAAAAGGAAATTACATGAAGTACATAAAGAGTATACAGAAGATGAAGAATTCAAAGATTTTCAAAAAATCATTAAAAGGTATATAGTAAATAATAGCTTTTGATTGTAAAATATTTCGTCATCTTGTTATAGATATAAGCCCAAAGGAACCCAATGAGAATTTGAAAGGTTGCAAGTTTTGCTAATTTATATTTTAAATTTACATTGTAGTAATAAGGAAGTAGTATGATAACTCGTTAATTTTTGTAATTTTTATTTGAAGTAACCTTTTTTTACATTTTGTTACTGTAGCTGCAATCAATGCATGCTGATATATACGTGTTAAGCTGTACCTGATTCTATTGACCTTTACATGATAATGTGCATTAACATCACTCTACTCCATTTATGTGTTGTTTGTAATTTGAAATTCAAACAGCTCAGTTTACTCATAACATCTCCATATATGGATTCACTGTTGTGATAGGGTAAATGTATTCGGTCAGCTTATACAGTAGCTTCTTGTGCCAAGAGAAGCAAGGATGGCTACACCACAAGTACTGCCAGAACCAGAGTTTGGTACAATAATGGATCCTGTCCATGGATCCATACAACTTGATAAATATTTGTTTAAGATTATTGATAGACCAGAATCCAGAG